GCCTGCCAGCCCACCCAGCCAGAACAGGACAGCATCCATCTCGGGGGCCCTCGTGGCCCCCCAGGCTTGGGGAAGGCTGAGGACCTGCTCCAGTTAACACCCTTCCCCCCACCAGGCTTAGGGGACAGAAGCTGTGCGGGGGCGGAGGGAGGCGGCTTGGCTGGCAGCCACCGAGGGATCATCTTGGCTCTGCCCTCATCAGAAAATGTTTAGCAAAGCCCCACAGGAACGGGCTGGGCCCCTCCCCAGCCTGAGCTGCAGACAGGTACTTGTGAGCTACTTAGGTGCACAGAGGGCAGGGCAGGGGGACATGGCCAGTGTACATCTTGGCCACCTGTGTCTCCACAGTGGCTGCTGGACGGCCTCCAGGCTCTCACAGTGACCTGGGGTGCCCTGCCCGAGTGACGTGGACATAAAGATGGGTACCGTGGGCACAGATACTCTAAATCTATTCATTTATTCATATTTTTTGAGACAGGGTCTCCCATGGGTATTCAGGATGGCCTCCAGTTTACTATGTGACCCAGGCTGCCCTAGAATGCCAAGGGATCCTTCTGCCTCAGCCTCCCAAGTCTCATCTAGATTTCCAGTGGAAGAGGAATTTCTAGAAAAAACAGCGCAGCTCAGAGGTGCAGCCAGTGAGTCAGGGTAGGCCAAATGCTACACACTTGCACACAAGAGCACCCAGAAACGAAGCCGGGTTAGTGAGGCACAGCCATTGTCTTAGTCTGTTTTCTGCCATTATAACAAAATACCCAAGACTGGGGAGTTTACAAAGATCAGCGTTCATTTGGCCACATTTCTGGAGGCCACGAAGGCCAGGGCACTGTGCCGGCATCAGGGAGGCCTTGCCGCTTGGCAACAGGCAGAGGCTTCTTCCTGTGGGGGTAGAGGGGGTGTCAGCCCAGGCCCCTCTTCATTTTATTCATTTGCTTTTTGTGCTGGGGGTGGAACCCAGGACCTTCGGGGGGAGCTATATCCCCAGCTCTTTCTCGCTTTTTAATTTTTAGTAGTAGTCTAAGTGGCCCAGGCTGGACTTGAATTTGAGATTCTCTTGCCTCAGCCTCCCAAACCACTGGGATTACGCATGTGCACACTCACACCCAGCTTGTTTTCTTCTCCCCTCCCCCTCTTTAATAAAAAAATTGTAGAAAATAGTGTTGGGATTCAGGATTGAACCCAGAGCCGTCAGACTAAGCCTCATCCCTGACACTTTTTTGTGGGGGAGGTGGCCAGGGTCTCCCTAAGTCGCTAAATGGTCCGGATCCCAGCTCTCTTCTTATTGAACCATCAGTGCATCCGTCACACCCTCATCTAACCCCCAAGACCTCTCACAGCCCCCTTAAGCACCACAGATATGTGAATGTGGAGACTATGTACCCAACACGTGAAGTTTTGGGGTCCCCTGCAGGTCAGGAAGCGGGAACTCCCAAGACTCTGGGGCTGTGCGGGGCGGGGTGGGGCTCCCACAGGTGTGTACACAGGAGAGGCCACCTGTCACAAGCATCCTCCTCCCTCCCCTGGGGACCAGGAAGAGGCCCAGGCAGGGCTGGGAGCTGCCAGCTCGCCTGACTCCTGCCCCCACGAGGGAACAGTTCAGTGTTCAGGCAAAAAAGAAGGTGAGGAGCCGGCTGACATCCAAAAGGCATCGATTTCCTCCCTGGTCCTCCGAGGCCTCTGTTTAATCAGGACAAGTTGCACCCGAGCTCCTAGACACCTGGATTCTCCCTGCTGGAACCCCCAGTTCTTTCAGGGAACTGCAGGCCAGGGTTAAGCACTTTCTAAGCTCCGCCCAGCCAGCTCCTCCTTTGTGGGGGGGGAATGGGTGGCCGCCCTGTGTGACTGGGAGAGAAAGAGGACACAGGTCTGTGGGGGGGGGGGGGGCTCAGGGCTGCCTGCTCCGGAAGCTGGCTCCTGGCCCCACCAGCTGGACCCATTGCCACTGAGGATCAGTTTCCCCAAGACAAAGGACTCTGTTCAAAGCTGGCAACAGCCTGGGTGCTCACCTGTCAGGGAAGAGAAGTGCTGCATTTATCCCCGACCATTCCCCATAAGCAGGACTAGACATGGGGACAGGGTGCTCTGGTCTCCACCTGTCCCTGCCACCTGCAGCCCCCAGTCTGCCTCACAGCCCTCATGGTCCCATTCCCTGCTCTAGGTGACAGCTAGCCACGCCCCTGGCCACAGGACTGCCGACCCAGGAGGGTGACTGCTATGTGGGCTGAGGGACCCAAAGGCCACCCACTGCCCCGGGGTTCTCTTCACCTGCCCAGGAGCCCTGGCTCCCCCCAGGTGGCCTACTTCCTGCTGCAGGCCCAGCAGGGTGGACAGCTCCGGCCACTTGTTCCAGCTCTGCTTGGGGCGAGAGAGCCAGGACTTCAGCTAGCCAGTCTCTCTGAGGTTTGACAGGAGTGGCAAAATACTGCAGTGTGGCGGGTCGACATGGTATTTCCCTGGCATGGGCCAGTGAATGTGTGTCTGGACGTAATTTTTGGCTAACACGGCTTTTATTTGCCATGCCTTTCTTGAGACCAGATCTTGGTAGGCTGTCCAGGCTGGCTTCCAACTCCCAGTGATTACCGGAGTGTACCACCATGTCTGTCTATTTTTGTCTTTCTTGTAATGACCACTAATTCCTTTCTGGACCAAACAAGTATACAGAGTAAGTATAAGTATAAAAAGTATAAATATAAGTTACTTGAAGATGGACTACATTCTTGGTGGACCCAGAAGGTATTCAAGCTACGGCTGGAGAAACCCTTTACAGGGCTGTTCTGGAGGGGATTCCTGTGTCTGGCCTCTGTGTGGACTGGTGGGCCAATTTTTTTTTTTTTTTTGGAGACAGGGTCTTGCTATGTAGCCCAGGCTAGCCTTGAACTCCAGGTGATCCTCCTGCTTTGCCCTCCAGAGTTCTGGGGTCACAGGCATGTATCACCACGCCCAGTTTGGGCCAATTATTATGTCTTGCAACACCAAGATAGATTGATGAGTTGTTTTTTTTTTTTTTTTTTTTTTTTTGACAGGGTTTTGGTATATTGCTGAAGCTGGCCTTGATCTCTGGCTTAAACAATCCTCCTGCCTCAGCCTCCAAGTGCTAGAATCCCAGGCACCCAGCTTGACCCTGTGGCTGGAGGATGTGATTGCCAGTCAGGCCTGAGAGCATCTAGACCCAGGAAAGTTTTTGGATGGAAACAGAAGCAGAGAATCCATTGTAAAGACTGTGGGGAAGAAACCTAAAATGGGATTCAGAAGAATAGAAATGAACATTTCTGGAAATTGCTTCCAAAGCAAAAATCCCTGAATGAGAAATGATCTCTGCTTCTAATCTGGAACACACAGCTAAATGTTGATAAACTCTCCACTTGTGGGGTGGCGGGAGGGAAGGGCTGAGGTGCCTGGAAGATCACTTCCCTTGGTACCACCCTGGGATCACCCGGAATCTCCAAGGTCACCCTCTTCCTGAGGACATGAGGTGCCCAGCAGACCTGCAAACCCCTCAGCCCGAGCTCTAGTCCATGCCACAGACTGTCACCAAAGTTGGTGCCTCCGGGGGAAGAAGCCTGTGTGCTTCCAGAGCCCCCCCCCCCCAGCCCAGACGTCCAGGGAGAAATCAGCTCACCTCACCTGCCATGCTAAGAAAGCTGCATCTTCCCTCCTCTCCGCGCACGAGCCCTCGGTTGAGATGTGCAACTATGACAATAGCTGGACTTTGCTGCTTTAGATGACCCAGGCCAGGGCTGTCACTGTTAGAACAGCACGGCCTGGGACTGTGACAAGGACACGCTGGGGTGGGGAATACATCAGCCTAGGTGGGGTGGCAGGGACAGAGAAAAGTGGCCAGCAATACCCGATTCCTATTCCTGATGCCACGAGCTGGGGGCGGGGAGCCTGAGGGGCCACCTGTCCACATGGGCCATGGAGCTGGGAGTGTACGAGTAAGCATGTGTGTGCATACTCACATCACACCTGCACACATTGCTGCGCCTGGGGGGAAGCATCTCCCTCTGGTCCTGCTTCCCTGGAATCAGTGGCCTTGGCAAGTTCCTTGGCAGGGGCCTGTGTGCGGGGAACACTCAGATCCTCCTGCTGGGACAAGGCTAATGGATGAACCCTCCATGACAGCACACCATCCCAGGGTTCAGGCTGAGGGAGCGCTGGGCCCTGTACCCTCAAAGACATGGGGAGCCCCCAGCCCTGAGAAGGGTACAATGCTCTGGGACCCCAGAGCCACATGCCACCTCTCTCCAGGCTCCCAGGGAAGCAGTGGGGGTAAAGGATGAGACCAGGTCTGAGGACAACCAGACCAGACCTGCTCAGGCATGGCCTGGCTGGCCACTCTTCCAGGTGGGCACTTTGTAAGTAAACAAGGACACCAAGGGGGCTCTAAGACAGTACAGTAGTGGCTGGGGCTCAGGTGGGAGCAGCTGCCTGCTGCCGGGACCCAGTGCCCAGCAGGAGGTCAGCACTCTTGGGTGGGTGCCAGCTCTGGGGGGGGTTCTCGTGGGGCTCACCAGCTGAGACGTGGTGTCTTCTGGAAACCAAACAAAGGAGGAGCCTAAGACAGGGGCTCAGGAAGTGGACGGAAAGGGCGGCAGAGAGAACATAGCTGCCCAGGCACCCCGGACATTGTCTCACTGCGGGGAAGACAGGCTGGTGCCAACTCATGGCAGTGATGCCCATAATCCTGGTCACCTCTAAACTCGGAGCCGCAGTGCAGAACAGAGCTCCTCAGGGACCTTCTTTTCCAGTTGCGGTCTCTGCCTGGGGCCCAGGGACCTGCTGGCTGGTGTGGCAGACGTGGTCACGAAGGTGAATATGCAGGTGGACCCAGGCCCGCAGCAAGCAGGGTGGTAGCAATTCCATGGCAACGGTGGGGGAGAGGGTGTCATAGGCAGGTGATGGGACCCCAGACACACGCACTAAATCCCAATCAGGTTCAAACACAGCCCCAGCACGTGCAGGCGGCAGTGCGCTCTCTGTGTAATAAACATTGCGAAGCGTACTTGATTGCTTTTTTTTTTTTCAAGTCAAAAATAACAACCAATGTCCCAGACCCTGTTTTCTGCATTCAGCATAGTGAAGCGGTTGGTATCAGCGGAATACCTGCAGCCAATCACAGACAAGACCCTGTCCCACTAGCCAGCCAATCACCATCCTTTTCCAGTTTAAGCAGCCAATCAGGCCTCTTCTCGATCCTAAAAAATGACCTAAATAAAGCACCAGAGCTCGGACAACTTCCTGGGAAGCCGGATACCGAGGCGCAAATTTTTTAAAAAAATAAGAGTCAGAAATAAAAATAAAAGGTTTCCGTTGGTCAAGATTTAAAAATAAAAAGGGTTCTTCCTGTAGCCAATCGTGAGTCCATCCCTTTAAGCCAACTGTAAACGCACCACGCTGGTGTCTCCTGGGGTGTCAGCCCCGCTCCGTGGCCAGGTTGGGGGAGGGGCGGGCAGGGGGAGGGAGGAGGGACGGTGGTGGTCACTTTCAGGAGCTGCCCACCGACTCTGGCCCTCACAGCTTCCTGGGCGTCCCGAGGGGCTCACGGCGGCTACTGTCTGCGGTCCTCCGTCTCTGACCTGGAGAAGGCCATCACCACGTCCTCCGCACCTGCAGATGGGGGACAAGAGTCGCTGATGGGCGACCGGGACAAAGTGAGGAGGCTGCAGGCCCCTGCTATGCCTCTGTGCCACCCGCTGCCCCCTGTCTTAGGGCAGGAGGAGGCTCCTCCCCTCTAACTTTCCTGGCAGCCTGGTGGGGAGACATAGCCCACAGCACACACGGGGCTGCAGGAAGAGGGCAGAGGCCACCTCAAAGCAGCACTCACTGCCCAGCCTGGACGCAGGACTTCAGCCCTGGCACAGGGATCCGCTCTGTGCAGACCTTAGCTCCAGGTTCACGGAAGCCCAGGGCCCTGGGACGTCCCCTCTCCTGTCTTGGTCCTGACTCTGGATGGTTTTACCCTCCGGTTTTTCACTCCTCTCTCCAAAGGTTTGTCCTCTGTGCACCCCAACACCTGTCCTGCAGAGGGGCCAGGCCCCCTCCGCCCGCTGGCTGCCAGGGGAGACTCACAACGCCCTGGATCCTTATTAGAATTTGTCTTAAGCCTGAGTTGGAGATTCTGGCCCAGGCATGCATGAAATCACTGCCTTTGTTTGGTTTCCAGAAGCCAGGCAGTGACACACTGCCAGGAGACAGGGCAGGAGGCAGGCTAAGGAAGGCACAGGAAAGGCTGAGCTGCCCCACCCAGATCAAGCCGAGGCAAGTGAACCGGTGACCAGACACCACCCCGCCGCCCGCCCTGGGTCCCTCTCCCAAAGGGTGGTTTTTACTGGGGAACAAACTCTCAACCTCACACTTGCCAGACAGGCGCTTATGCCGCCGAGCTAAATCCCCAGCCCCTAAAGGGTGGTTCTGGGTAGCAGCAGTGCAGCTTCTTTCCTTCTCGGTTTTTTTTTTTTTTTTTTTTTTTTTTTTTTTGAGACAAGGCCTCATTATGCAGCTGAGGTCAGACTTGCGCTCCCTTTGTAGCGCAGGCTGGTCTTGAACTCGCAGCGATCCTCCTGCCTCAGCCTCATGAGTGCTCCAGGGAGGAGGCAACTGGAATACAGGGGCAGGAAAGGCTGCTCACAGATGAGCTGGTGTGGTCTGTGTCCAGTGCAGCCAAGTTGGCATGGCACAGAGGCATCGATGTTTTTGGGTGCAGAAGAAGGGTCTGAGAGCAGGGTGTGATGTCAGAGAGCCACCTTCATCTGGCTGGCAGCAGGGAGGTGCCCAGGGGACTCACCTGTCACCCACTCCCTGCCTGCCGGGGTTTCCGGTACAACTTCTATTCCTGAAAAGAAGATGAGGCTTCTGGAAAGGCCCTCAAGTCTTCCAGCTGCCTGGGAGGCCCCTTGCTGAGAAGCCCTACAATCGCTCCCTGTCTTCTCGGGAACATTCTGTTCTCGCCCAGGCCTGGACCACGCAGCAGCGCTGCAGGCGGAATCGTCCTGGCAACGCAGACTCCAATTACGTCACGTGTGCGGGCGCAGCTGAGCCGCTCACCTAACAGATGCCCACCTCCCCCGTGCCTCCCTACCAGCACGAGGCTGCCTCAGGGCCACACGGCAATGGGGCAGTGTCAGTGGAGGACGCCTTGGCTACAGTCAGGGGTGGCACCTGCTGGCTTCCTTCCTCCCCCGCTTTACGGGATTTCTTTTGGGGATCTTGGGGTTCTGCTACAGGTGCGGAATTAGCACAAGTGTGCTGGAGGGAGTGGAGGGGCAGAGGGACGCCTCCCAGGGTCAGAATTCCAGTTCCTCGGGTGCCCTGGAGGCGGGATGGGGAAGTCACCCTTGAAAGCTCAAATAGGGGCTTTGATGACTACTTATAAGAGGTCATAGCAAAAGCTTTGCAGGAGTCCCTGTTCCCCCTAGTCTCCCATCAGCCCCTGGGACAGGAAGGACCCACCCCTAGCCCCAGTGCCCCAAGGGACTCACTGTTTCCAGCTGGACCCCAGGGAACCTTCCTCTGGGGACAGACAGGCCACCCCTCTTCCAGAGCACTGCAGGACCCAGGCTTCCTTTTTTTTTTTTTTTGTAAAAGGAATCAAACTCATGACCTTGCACTTGCCAGGCAAGCACTTACACCACTGAGCTAAATCCCCAGCCCTTTTTTTGAGATGTGGCCTTGCCATGTAGTTCAGGCAGGCCACAAACTCTCAAACTTGTGATCCTCCTGCCTCAGCCTCCCAAGCGCTGAGGCTACAGCTATGTGGTGCTACCATGTCAGCTGTTTTTGGTTTTTTTGAGATGAGGTTCTCAGTAGCCGGGACTGTGTGATCACCACACCTGGCTCCCTTTCAGCATTTCTAGTCAATATTTTTGCTTTGTTTCGTTTCGCAGTGCTGGGGATGGAACCCAGCACCTCACACACCCTAGGCAAGTGGTCATCACTGAGCAGCATCCCCAGTCCCGAAACTGCTGGGCAGTTAGGAAGAAAAAGAAGAAACTGCATCCAGAGAAAAAAGAAGCAATAAAACTATCCGTATGCATAGAGGATGTGATCTGTATGCAGAAAATTCTAAGGGATCTGCTAAAACAAGTACAGTATTAAAACTGGTCAGCTAGTTTCGGGGCACAAGATCAATGTACAAAGCTCAGCTGTGTTTCTTTTTCTTTTTCTTTTTCTTTTTTTCTTTTGTCTTTTTCCTTTTTATCAGTACTGGGGATTGAACTCACAACTGCCTGCTTGCAAGGCAGGGGCTTATGCCACTGAGCTAAATCCCCAGCCCCCTCAGCTGTGTTTCTATCCACTTGCAAAGAGCAATCTGAAAATGTAGTAAGGCCTCAACTCCGCCTGTATCAGCGTCAATAATGAAATATTTCCGAGTATATTTAGCAAAGTGCAAAATTTGCACTCTGAAAACTACAATATGTTGTTGAAAGAAATTCAACACAGCCCCTTCAGAATCCCAGCGGTACCCTTTTGTAGTGATTGATAAACTGGCCCTAAAATTGGTGTGGAAATGAGGGAACCCAGTTAACCAAAATGCCCTTGAAACTGAAGCACAAACTCAGACCACATTTCCTGGTTTCAAAACTATCACAAAGCTACCTCGGACAACAATGGGTAATACGGGGCTGGGACAAGTGAGAAAGCTGGAGGCGTGTGGTGGGGTTCAGAAGGAAACCCCCACGTGGCATTAAGGGTTAGCTGACTTCTGACCACTACGACACTGCTTGGGGAAAGCACCGAAGAGAAGGTGCTGGGACAAAGAGATATTCACAAGCAAAACATGACCCTGAAGCCTCGTCTGGCACCAAATACCCAATCAGCTCAGAGTGGATCGGTGGTCTCAATACAAGAAGCGAAGAAGCTACAAAACTCTTAGAAATGGGGCTGGGGATTTAGCTCAGCAGCATAAGCACCTGTCTGGCAAGTGAAAGGTCATGAGCTCAATCCCCAGTACCAAAAAAGACTCTTAGAAGCAAGCACAGGAATTAAACTTCATGACTGTCATGGCCCCCAGCTGATGACACCATGAGGCGATGCCTAACAACCAGATGTAGGGAATACATGCCAAAATCACAGAATTCTTGGAGGCTGAGGCAGGAGGATCTCAAGGTGTAGCCCAGGCTGGACAAGAATCTGGAGCTCACAGGATGAAGCAGCTGGGTGACTCATAGCACAGGAAGGACCCGGAACCAGAACGGATACAGGCCCACACCTTGAGTGCTGCAGGGGACGTGACTATGCCTTCCCTGGGGACAGGAAATGACTGACCTGCTCAAGTCCTATGGAGCACGGAGCCTCATCAGGTCTCCTGGTAGAGACTGAGCCAACCCACCTGTCACTAGGAGCACAGAACCGAGGTAATGTTTGTTTCAACACATCACCAAACATCCTGGCACCCTGGAAGGTTGAGGCAGGAGGGTCCAAAGTTCAAACCCAGGCTGGGCAAGTTGGTGGCTTAGCGAGACCCTGTCTCAAAATGAACTAAACGCAGCTCAGTGCGAAGGCCCTGGTCCTGGCCTTGACACCTACTACTAAAAGCAAATCACCAACACAGCCAGGTAGAAAAATTCAGTGTGAGACTCAGAGCGACCCCCAGGGGAGCCCTGTCCCTTGCCTCCCGGCCCGTGGCTCAGCCACCTGGACAGCAGGGCTGTCTGAGTCTGGGAGGGCACCTGACAGCCACTCATCCCACACCCGGTGCCAGTTGGGTCCCTTGAATAGTGCCAGTCAAGTGAGGGGGGAGAAAAATGCCAGCTATGCAGGGGCTCGCCAGAGGGAAGCTGGTAGCGCGGGCGGCAGACAATGGGGTCACTGGCGTGTGCTGCGCTGGGACGAAGCCAGTGCCTCCGCAGCAGCAGGCGGGCAGCTGCCTCACACACACAAGCAGCGTGTTTGGGGAGTCGGCCCAAGGGTGCGGGGCCCTCTGGGCGTGTGAGGCTTGAGTTTCGAGTCAGAGTCACTGGAGGAAAAAAGAAAGCTTGTGACGTCAGCACTTGGGAGGCTGAGGCAGGAGGATTGCCAGAAGTTTCAAGGCCAGCCTGAAGTACAAAGCTAGATCCTGGCTCAAAAAATGGGGGCGTGGCCCCAGAGTGGCACTGGCTGTGAGTGGGCACCCACCTGACCTGGTTTGGAGTCAAGAGGGCCTCTGAGCCCAGCTACGTGCCCTTGCTCAGCCCCCAAAGTCCTTGCGCCTCTCTGGCCAGAGCACCCCCAAGACTGTTCCAGAGAGAGACATTGGGGGAGCAGGCCCAGGGCTGCATACTTGCTGTCCCGTCTGAGTGTCACAGGCACCTGTGACCTGCAGCCCACTGCAGCCACAGCCCCACAGCTTGCGTTCCATAACAGCTGCCTGGAAAAACAGGCTCCAGCCGGTCCTGGGGGACAGGGCAGGGCAGGGCAGGGATGGATGCCACCACACACTGGGTCCTCCCCACACTGGACCAAACACCCACTGGGCAGCAGGCACAGCTTCCAGCAGCATGGAGCTGACATCGGGTGCTCTGTATGTCACAGCTCTGAGTGCATCCCAGGGGATGGCCTCTACCCAGAGGCAGCGCAACAACGTTCCGGTTGCTATGGGAACAGCAGCCACTGATGCATCTTAGCCTCAG